TTGGTTAAGGATGAATTGTGTGTGGGTCTGGTTTAAAGCTGGTTAGTTGTGGACGAGTCTAAAAACCTTGATTGCATACCATTTTTTAAAACCTTGGTTATAGAATGCGAAGGTGTCTTATGTCCTGTTAATGATTTGAACTTGTGCTCGACAAACAGATTGAGAAAATGGAGAATTTCTTGAAGGAACCTAAGGGAGGATCATTGGATAGAGAATTCTACCAAAAACTTGCTGGAAGTTTCAAGTGAGTTCCGCTTTTCACTGGTTGTTAGGTTATTTTCCAGTAATAGAAGAAGTATTGTCATTGAGGAGTGTTGGAATGTGATGTTTGTGCAGTCGTTCCTCGAGTCGTGCTTGGGAAGCTCGTTATAAAATGGACAGAGGTTAATGTTCTTTCTCACTAACTCATGTATTTTATTTCCGTGGGTTCCTGTGCGGCATCCTTCAAATATTGTTGTTTTCCTTTTCCTATATTCTTAGATGGTTGTGCCTTTTTTTATGTAGTTTTTAATTAATCCTTTATTTTGGAGAAATTCTAGATTGAAAAGTTGGTTTCGGGCTAGGCTCCAAGACTTAGCACTAGTCCCTAACAAGTGAGTTGTTGGTTCCTAAATGTAAGGAAGGTGAGTCTTCCGGTGGACCTTATGGTTCTTAGCATAGTAAGTTGTTATGTTGTCTTCAAGTATTCAAATGGTCAACATTAGATTTATTTAATATAATTGCGGTGTTTTTCATTGCTTGCTTGAGTTATGGTAGGTTGCCTATTTTATTTTATGTCTCTCGTGTCTATGTTATCTGTCATCACATATTCAAATATTCAACATTGAATTATTTAATATAATTGCGAGTGTCTACCATTGCTTGCTTAAGTGATGACTTTTACGTTAAGCTGTTTTATGTTATTAGGAACATGTTTGGTAGAAGATAATATGATACTCGAAGATGAGGAATAACTTGGCGATAATGAAGGAACATGAAAGTGATAATAACATTCCCACCATAAAAAAATTTTTCACTTTCTATTTTCCTTCTATTTTTGTATAGCTAGTCTGCTACGGTTGTATTTATTGATATATTTGAGGAAACTTCTAATAAAATGAGTTATCTTGTGAGATTGTACCTGGACTGATTGTTTTACGAAGTTATGCGAGATCCATCGGAGTTGGAATTTGAAGCAAGATCATCAAAAGATGGAGCATGGTGAGAACATGCAGATTATTTCGGTTAGCTTAAATTTTCCTAGCCATCACTGTTCATGAAGTATTTAAAATTTTAATGTATCTGAATCAAAAGGTTTCCTTATATACCTTTCCCAAGCATTCAAGAAAAATTCATGCAAACTTCTCCACCTTTTTGGAGGTCCTCTAACTGCTGATCCCTTCGTCATATATCTCGTGTTCCCTTGACATGTATTCCATGTTGGTATAAGCTGTTGCTTGAAGTCTTCAATTGTGGAATAAACCTCTAGTTCTGGTTCATGATCAAGACTCATATCCCAGTGATAGTGGAATGGAAAAAGTAATTTAAATATGGATGCACCAATATCTATTCAGGTCATCTTATTATTAATTTATTATTGTTTTTACCAATTGATCCACATTTCATGGATGAGAATGCATCTTAACTACTAACTACTAAGCATTCATTATGTAATACAATTGTGTCCAATTGGAGAAAAAAAGTTGTCTAATGAACTTGATATAATTAAAAATGTAAATAAATAAAAATAATTAACTTTGTTATTAATTTAACGAACGATTTAGCGATCGAATTTTTGGTCGCTACAAATTTATTATAATATACAATTCAAATTTAGCGACCGATTTAACGATCGATTTAAATTATTATTTAAATAATTCAATTAATATATTAGCGATCGATTATATCCGTCGCTATTATTTTTAACTTTGTCTCCAATTTAGCGATTAGCCGATTTTAATTATTATTTAAATAATTATATTAATATATTAGCGACCGAATATATCGGTCGCTATTTTTTAAAACTTTACCACTGATTTAGCGACCGATTTATTATATAATTTTCGATCGCTATTTTGGTCTTCAATGAATAAGTGACCAAATTATTTAGCGACCACTTTAGCGACTACCAAATCGGTCTCTATTTAGCGACTGAAATGTAAATCGGTCGCTAACCAATTAGCGACTTGCCCTTTTGCGACCAACCATTTCGGTCGCTAAATTCGGTCGCTAACAGAATAGCGACCGATTTTTAGCCATTAGCGACCGATTTTTTCGGTCGCTAAAAGCGTTTTTTCTTGTAGTGAACCCATCCTTCACTTTCACGTAAAACACTCGAAATTTTTGCATGCCTCATGCAAATCCATTCTTTCACTATTATTACTTTCAACCTTCAGTTAATTAAAGATATAATTGAGTTATAATATATAAATAAATATAAAATTACTTTATAATAATTTGATTTTATAAATTTAAATTAATTTAATTTTTTAAATAATATAAAAAATTATCTTAATGAATTTTATAAGTCGATATTTTATAATACTGAATTAAGTGTAAATTAATTTATTATTATACTTTTGTAATTCAATTATTCTTTCAAGTAATTGGTTTCTTGCAGGATCATATTTTTTCTTTTTATAATTTGTACTACTTTTGTCACCTTTCTCCTATTATTTCTTATTTGTAATTATATAAGTTAGTGTTTCTACAAATTTTATGATGTAATACAAATATTGTTCTAATACGGGGATGTTCTCTCTTTTTTTATTTATATAATCTAGTTTAATTTAATTATATATTTTGAAATATAGTCTAGTTTAATTTAATTATATATTTTGAAATATAGTCTAGTTTAATTTAATTATATTTTGAATGATGATTATTTTCTATTAAATATTCCCAATAGTACTATATGAAATTAAATATATGTAATTTATAATTTTACATTATTTGTGTGTTAAGAACAAATGTTAAAATTAATCTCTAGAAATGATTAAATTATCGATAATATTTATATTATAATTAATTCTTGAAAAAACTGATATGAAGACTATAAATTAAAAGGGTTTAAGAATTTTGATATTTTCATATATTTAAATTAGTATTTTTAATTTTATTATGTAAAAAAATAAAATAGTAAAATAAAAATAAATATCATATAAAATAATATAATATCATATTTTTAACTTCATAAACATATTTTACTTTATTTTGTATTAAAAAAATTTAAACTAATTTTATAATAACGAGTCCGAGAGAAACAATTACGTACCTTTTAATCGTTATTTATTCATTTAAATTTTAAGATCAAAACTTATAATGTGATCAAATCTTTATTTATATAAAAAGAACATTTTTAAATTAAAAATAAACTAAATAACATATATATATATATATATATATATAAAATAATAAATAAAATAATAATGAGATATAAATTAAATAACATAAATATAAATAAATAAAGAAAATTTTAGTTGAAAATAAATTAAATAATATAAATTGATTTTTTTTCTCATTCTCTCCTTCTTTCACTTTATTACATCATCTATATATAATAAATTTTAGTTTTAATTGTTTTACTTCCATTAAATATTTTTAATAATTACAATTTTTAGATTTTTTAAACATATTTATATATTTTTAATAATAATTTTTTAATCATTTTTAATTTTTTTATAATAAATAAATAAATAGATCTTTTATTATTTCTAACAAATAAAAATATTAAAAAATATATATGATAAATTTTAAAAATATTACAACGAGATAAGAGAAAAAATTAAGTTGAAAAATAAGAAAATATAAAGTATTTTCTCAGTCTTCTTATTTATTACATTGTTTTAATTTGTTTATTATATATTTAATTATCTGTTTTAATATTCATAAAAAATTAAATGAATATATATATATATATATATATATATAATATTTTATTTAAACTATCATAAATTTCAATATTTAAAAAAAATTGAGTTTATTAAAACTATAAATATACAAAATAATTAAAAAGTCGGGGATCATATCCCCTGCAGCCTCGCGAAGGTTCGCCCCTGTGATTAATTACAAGGCTTTAGCTTGGTCACAACAACTGAGGGAATTTATTTGCTTAGAATTAAAATAATAATGCATAATAAGATAGTATAATAATGGTGATAATATTAACAAAAATAATAATAATAATAACCCTTGGATGATAATATTAACCTAAGAGGAAATTGGCATGTCATGATGGAATTTGTACTAGGATGATGCTAATGTTTTTATTTTCATTTCTTCTTGTTAATTTTATTTGCACATGATGTTCTTTTATTCATTTACCACACTTAATCAATATCGGTGCCTGAGGATTAATCAGTTATTTTCATTTATAATAATATCAGTCGGTGCATGCATGAGAATTGGTGAGACACGTGTCATCCTACTGAGCTATCTTATTATTTACGTAACTTGTTTCTGGCTTCTTATAAAACTGAAGTTTTATGAATGAATGTATCAAATTACATGTTTATCTCCCTAACAATCCATATCTCAATTTTCCCCTTTAATCTTTATCCCATTTATATTTATTAATGAAATATAATGTTTTTATTTGTTTTACATAATAATATTTTTAATCATATGTATATCGGTTAAATGTCTAAGTTTTAAAATAATTTATATTTAATAAAACAAATATTATTTTCTAATAAATAAAAAAGAATTTTTTATTAACTATCTTAAAATATAATAAAATTGATAATATTAATAAAATAAAATATTTGTATTGATGATGATTTATTTTTTAGTTTCATAATATTTAAGAAATATGATTTGAAATTTAAATTTGTATGATTGTAATTTTATTTATTATATTTTATAAATTTGTATTGTTAAATGTGTTTGTATTTAAAAAAAAAATTATTATCGTATCAGATATGTATTACTGGTATATGATGCGTCATAGTGTCCAGTATAATAAGGTCGTATATGATTCTAATAAGATTCACTAAAAATATTTGTGCCATCTAAAGTTTGTAATGGCGTTACTCCTAATTCTGACTCTATGCCTAACTCTTCCCCTTCTTTTGCTATTCTTCTTGCAAAACCGCAGAAACATCAAGAACTCATCTTTTCCACCTGGTCCTATTGGCATTCCCATTATAGGGAATCTTCATCAGCTGAATAATTCAGCTCTTTATCTGCAGCTATGGCAACTCTCAAAGAAATATGGGCCACTTTTTTCCCTTCAATTAGGTTTAAGGTCAGCCATAGTTGTTTCCTCACCTAAACTGGCCAAAGAGGTGATGAAAGACCATGACCTCGAGTGTTGTGGACGACCTAAATTGCTCACACTACAAAAATTTTCCTATAATGGATTAGACATGGCATTTTCCCCATACAATAGTTATTGGAGAGAAATGAGGAAAATTTCTGTTCTCCATGTCCTTAGCTCTAGGCGTGTCTCTAGCTTTTCCTCAATAAGACACTATGAGGTCAAGCAAATGATGAAAAGAATATCTATGCACGCCTCAGCTTCAGAAGTTATAAATTTGAGTGAAGTTCTAATGTCTCTTTCTGTCACTCTCGTATGTAGAATTGTGTTTGGGAGAAGCTATGAAGACGAAGGAACTGAAAAAAGTAGATTCCATGAACTACTCAATGAAAGTCAGGCCATGTGGGGTACCTTCTTTTTCTCAGATTATATTCCTTTCTTAGGTTGGCTTGATAAAATCAGGGGACTGCATACACGTCTTGAACGTGCTTTCAAGGATCTAGATAAGTTCTACCAAGAAGTGATTGATGAACACAATGATCCTAATAGAAAGACCCCAGCAGAGAACGAGGACATAATAGATGTCTTACTTCAACTGCAGAAGCAGCGTTCGTTTTCCGTAGATCTCACAAATGATCACATCAAAGCGGTTTTCATGGTTTGAACTTCTTTTCCTTTCTTTCTCATATAACTTATCTATTTCAGTAACAAAAATGACAATAATTGCACACAAAAGGTAATCACTGTTATCTGTTAGCATTTTATAGAAGATTAGCAGTGGGCTGGGAGCGTGAGGTGAACACTTTAGTTCAATTATTATGTAGGTTCTTAGATAAAATAAAATTTGTTTCATTGAAATTTGTTGTTATATATTAGATATCTCAAAAGAGTGATCTTGTAATAGACGGTTTGGTTTGAGAAATAATTGCGAAACCAGATACCTTCATAATCTCTAGAACTGGTCAATTCGCAAAATTTATTGTCAGAGAGGGAAAAAAGTGAAAATTGTGTCTAACAATGGCAAGTCCAATTTACTGAGTGCTGATATCTTTCTCCAGAACATGCTTGTAGCAGCAACGGACACAACTGCAGCCACATTAGTCTGGGCTATGACTGCACTATTGAAAGATCCAAGAGTAATGAAGAAAGTTCAAGAAGAAATTAGGACTTTGAGGGGTAAAGCAGACTTTTTAGATGAAGATGAAGTTCAAAATTTTCCCTATTTGAAGGCAGTGATAAAAGAGACACTGAGACTGCATCCACCAGCACCATTACTTGTGCAAAGAGAAACAAACGAAGCATGCATTATAGCTGGATATGAAATTCCAGCGAAGACAATAGTGTATGTGAATGCTTGGGCTATACATAGAGACCCTGAGGCTTGGAAAGACCCTGATGAGTTTATACCCGAGAGGTTCTTAGATAGTACAATAGATTTTGGAGGGCAAGATTTTGAGTTCATTCCATTCGGTGCTGGTCGCAGAATTTGCCCTGGCATAGCAATGGCAAATGCTTCCTTGGATCTTACTCTTGCTAATCTTCTGAATTCCTTTGATTGGGAGTTGCCACCAGGAGTGAAAAAAGAGGACATAGATACCGAAAAGTTACCTGGAATTACTCAGCACAAGAAGAATCATCTTTATGTTTTGGCCAAGTGTTGAATTTAAAAAGTTTGATTAATATAATGTTCTAATAATAGTTTGTAACCAGCCCATATATGAACATAAGGTAGGTAAATAAGGGCACGAGGTTATGTGGATTGTAATAATCAACCTTTATCTTTTAGTGCACTCGGTTTGGTTCATTAATATATTATTTTCTGTTTTCATATTTTAAGGGAACACTTGTAGGTTTCCATCGAAATTTTCCACGTACTTTTTTTTTATTATTATTATGTTATGTTGAGAGGAGGTTAGGTGAGTAAGAAAAATCGAATTAGATTGCATTAAAGAGATCAAAATAATTCAAATTACATCATAATTAAATAAAATAAATTAAGATGAGATATGATAAATCAAATTAAGACAAAATATATCACGTCAAAATAATGAAATCAAAAAAGTCAAATCAAATTAGATAAAATATTTTATCTTCATCTATGATTCGATCAATCTGTTTGGATTAGGATGAACATGAGAGAGTAAAAGAAGAAAGACAAAAATAGGAAAAAGTGAGATTGTTTTAATTGGAAGAAAGAGAGTGAAAGGTAATGAGAAGTGAATATAATATGATAATTGATAAGATTAATTTGAATGATTAAAAAAAATTAAATAATAAAATAAATTAGTAAATGATCAAATATTTTTAATATATATTTAATATAAATAAATTTAAATATCATTTAATATAAATAATTTTTTAATAAAATATATAAAAATAAGTTAAAATTAAAATTAATTTATATATAGTTAAAATACTTTTTTTATATTTACTAATTTTAAAAGTTGATAAAATAATATAAATATTACAAACTTTATTAATTACAAATATGAATTTATTATATACTTTAAAAAACTATATAATTGAAATATTGATTTCACATATTTCATCAAATAATTAACATATGTTTTAACCATATTATATATAATAATAATAATTATTGTTATTATTATTATGTATTAAAATTAATGTTTTAATATTATAAAAATAAATTTTAGTAATGTTTTACATAATATTATTCTAAATGGGAACAATAAAATAATTATTAAAGAGAAATAATTTTACTAAAATTAAAGAAAAATAATTTGGAATATATTTGTTGGTATAGGCAGAAATAAGTTATCTCTTAAACAGACACTTCAATTTTGGTTCAATCCAGATAAATCATCGAGAGTTTTCTCTTTTATACTTTTGTGCTAACAGTTATGTGACAGGGAAACACTGCGTAACTTTGAAGTTGGTGTATGCTTGGCGGTGCAATATATAGATATTGAGGTGTACCATTTTCCCTGCGCACAGTACCTGGTGTCAACATTTTAGAGTGCCAAGCTTCATGTACAAAATATATATATATATATATATATATATATATATATATATATATATATATATATATATATATATATATATATATATATATATATAGTTATGAACTTGTGATCAACATGTCATGATATTTATATAAAATTCTGTGAGAGTATATTTATTTTTTAAATTATTTAATCTTAAGGATAATGATTAATACATCCATTTTATATTATATTTTATTATAAAACTAATTTTTATCATTTAATTTTAAAAGAAAAATGGTTATTGGAAGAATGTTTCAGAATTTTCGGATGTTAAACTAACTTTTTTCAAAAGAACACCATTCAAATTTATTATATTTTTCTTTTTTATTAAAATATATTTAAATTAAATTATTTTTATTTTCTAAAATATTTTATTTAAATAATGTAATTCAAATTTTATAAAAACTATTTTATAAAATAATTTAATAATTATCAAATATAAAAGTTATAATATTATTAGATTTATCAATTTAATTTAATTTATTAAGTTAAATGAGATTTGATGAAATCAAATTATTTAAATTGAAAAAAAATTAGGTTGAATTAATACAAATCACATTTATTTAATTTGAATTACACAATATATTTGTGTTAAGTTAACAAATCACATTTATTTGAATTACACAATACATTTATATTAAGCTAACTTAGATTAAGTCAAATCAAAATCTCATTTCTAATCTTAATACAATCGATGACATAAAACTAAAACTAAGTTAAAGATTTTTTTAATCAAGACAGAAAGAATTAAAGAAAAAATTGAAACATATAAATTTAATAAAGAGAAAAAAATATATATATATATATATACACAAAATTTCAAATTCTTAAAAATATATTTTCAAATTTTAAATAATAACGTACTCGAATTTCAATTTCTATACAAGATTAATTATTGTGTATATAGCTTCAGTTTATAACATTTTTTCACGTGAATTTTAATAATGAAATAAAGATGTAAATACTAAGCTTATCGCATGGAAAACCTATTTCAGTAAGAGAGTAAGAGAGGCAGATATTCAACATTAAATATCATCACAAAATTAAAATATAAGACCAATATAACCTTTACAAGGCCGTGAAACCCAACAAGAAAAAAAGAGACACGAAGAAAGCAAACAGTGAAAATGCTGAAGGTAGAGTGCCCTAAGAGATCAAAGATAAACACAATCCACCTAAAATCAACATGCCCTTATTTCATAGGATTGGGCAGGGTACAAACAATATTACCTACATCACTATGAACCATACTTTTACACTACACACTTGGCCAAAACACACAGCGAATTCTTCTTATGAGTTGTAATTCCCGGCAACACTTCAGTGTCAATGTCTTTTGTTGTCATTCCTGGTGGCAATTCCCAATCAAATGCATTCAGAAGATTGGCAAGAGTAAGTTCCACTGAGGCAACTGCCATAGGCATACCAGGGCAAATTCTACGACCAGCACCAAATGGAATTAACTCAAAATCTTTCCCTCGAAAAGTTGTACTACTATCTAAAAACCTCTCGGGGTAAAACTCAAATGGGTCTTTCCAAATCTCAGGGTCTCTATGGATAGCCCAAGCATTCACATACACCATTGTTTTGGCTGGAATTTCATAACCACCTATAGTAAATGCTTTATTTGTTTCTCTTGGCACAAGTAGTGGTACTGGTGCGTGCAGTCTCAGTGTCTCTTTTATCACAGCCTTCAGATAGGGAAACTTTCCAATATCATCTTCATCTACAAATTCTTTTTTACCTCCCAAAGTCCTAATTTCATCTTGAGCTTTCTTCATTACTCTAGGATTTCTTAGTAGTGCATTCATAGCCCAGGTTAATGTGGCTGCAGTTGTATCTGTTGCTGCTACAAGCATGTCCTGAGGAAAGAAACTGACACTCAGCGGTTGCTCCAAAAAATAGATTAATTTAGAAATTAATTTTATTCGATGGCATGAAGATAGATAGATAGATATTGTAAATGAGAAGAAAAGGAAAAGAAATTGATTCAAACCATGAGGATCGCTTTGACGACATCATCTGTGAGTTCTACAGAAGTGGAACGCCGCTTCTGCAGTTGAAGTAAGAGATCTGTCACATCCTCGTTCTCTGTAGTCCTTTTTCTACTGGGATCACTGTGTTCATCAATCACTTCTTGGGTGAACTTATCAACCTCCTTGAAAATCCCATCAAGACGAGCTTGCTGTCCCGTGAGTCTATCGATCCAACCCAATAAAGGAATATAATCATAAAAAAAGAAGGCAACCATCATGGCTTGACAATCATTGAGTAGTCCATGGAACCTACTTCTCTCAGCTTCTTCATCATCGTAGCTTCTCCCAAACACAATTCTACTTATGATGCTGCTAGCATGAGCAACTAAGGCTTCATTCAAATTCGTAAGCTTTGAAGATGAAGCATTCCTGGATATTTTTTTCATCATATTCTTCACCTCATGCTGTCTTATGGGTGCAAATCTTGAGACATGCCTATAGCTAAGGACATGGACAATACAAATTTTTCTTATTTCTCTCCAAAACTCACCATATGTTGAAAATATCACCTCTGACCCATTGTAGAACAGTGTTTGCTGGCCAAGTAATTTAGGTCGTCCACAACATTCAAGGTCATGGTCTTTCAAAACCTCTTTGGCCAACTGAGCCGAGGAAACAACAATGGCTCGCCTTAATCCAAATTTTAGGGAATACAGAGGCCCGTATTTTTTGGAGAGTTGCCATAGCTGCAGATAAAGAATAGAACTATCAAGCTGATGAAGGTTTCCTATTATGGGAAGGCCTTTAGGACCAGGTGGAAGGTGCCACTTGTTCAAGTTTCTTCGGTTTTGGAAGAAGATTAACAAAAGCAGAGGAAGAGCAAGGCAAAGGATTAGAAGTGGGGACACCATTGTTGACCTATAACCAAGAGGTGCAAGAAGACTGGTCTGTGGTGAATCTTAGAATCATACAACCTTATAGGGATACAAGCATGATGAGAACTTCAGATATTGTTTTCTGGATTTAGTTGACTATAGTCTCCCTAAAACTCACCTTATATTAATCTGATTCTATCAGTAAAATTGATGAAAGATTATTTTTTCCAATAATGAACTAACTTTTATTGTTTATATGTTTTAGTGTTTGGTGCTGTTCGTCCCTTTGTTTGTACATAAAAATTGTACGTTTCTGAATGGTAGTATTCGCATCATCATTGCTTATCTCTTCCTTTTCTCGAGGAGTCTGATTGTAGGGACAGAATTTTTATTATATTAAAATAAACTGTTTTACAATTTAAGACACCATGAAAACAAAAATCCGAATATAATAATCCACAATTATATAAATTTAAATATTTTAAAAATCTATTTCAATAGATTTACCTTATATTCAAATTCAATATTTTTAGATTTATCTTAAATTGAATAGGGGTTGAATTATTTTAATTTTTAAAATGTAAAAATAACTTTATGTCGATTAAATAAAGTTGAATTAAGTGATATTGAGTGAAATTAAATAAGTTCATATAAATTCAAACTAGATAGGATTGAATTGTATAGATTTAGGTTTTGATGATTATGTAAGATTGAGTAATTAGGATTAGAATGGGTTTGACTAAGCTAAATTGGACTATCTCGTCTTAAAATTAATTCATATTAAGTTAATTTAGATTTTTTAGGGTAAGATAAGGTTTTTTAAGTTAGACTAGGTTGAATTAAGTTAGATGAGATACGATTAATTTAGGGTTGATTTAGGTTGAGTTAGGCTAATTTGATTAGACTAGGATAAGATAAGCTTGATTAGTTTATGTTATATTTAATTGAGTCGAAATTATAAACAAGTAAGTTAAATAATTAAGGTCAAATTAAATTTCTCATTTTAAAATAAATAAGATTAAAACAAATTAAATAAGTTTAATTCAAACTAATTTGGGTTTAAGGTTTGGATCGAGGTGAATTTAAATAAATAAATAAAAAGGTAAAAATCAACTTTTAATCAAATTAAAAAATGATTTTATTTAAATTTTATACCAAATGAAATGAAATTAAGTCATATTTAATTTAGATTACAATTTAATCAAATATTTAACTAAACCAAACAGCTGTTAAATGCGTTGTCAATTATTTTGTCGGTGTGGACTACTGTCATAACTCCACCCCCTTGTGCTACACTTGATATGGGTGCATAGGATTATTATTCAGTCTGGACTGAGGTAAATAAATTTATATGTTTATCTTTTATATATTATTTATTTTGTAAATATTTCTGCATTAAAGTAGTTAGTATTAATCATTTTGCAACGTGTCGATAAAATTTGGGCCAACCTCAGTACTGGCCTAAGCCCAAATAAATTGAGAGCCTCTCGTCTTTCTAACGATAATTTTGTTACATTATGTTTGCCGCACTTTTTTTTTTTTTTATTTATGATTTTATATATATTCCATATTTTAGTTTTAATCTTTTTTCTATTTCTAAATTATTTCTTCATCCAATGTATCAACACATATACACTTGTGCATGCAATTGTATGAAGGCAAAATGAGACGCATGAAGCTTATATTTCTTTGACAAATGAAATCATTAAAATTTAGAACAAAGTAGTGGATCTTCATTGTTTACTCATACATAAAAACACAATCATTATTGCAAAACTTCATTTGCATTTTACTGATCTAGCCAAAACACAAAGGGGGTTCTTCTTGTACTGCGCAAGTCCTGGCAAGACTTCCGTATCAATGTCCTCCTTTGTCATCCCTTCAGGAAGTTCCCAATCAAAGAAATAAAGAAGGTTAGCAAGTATAAGATCCAATGAAGCAATGGCCATAAGAATACCAGGGCAACTTCTACGACCAGAACCAAATGGAATCAACTCAAAATCTTGCCCTCGAAAATCTATAGTACCGTCTAAGAACCTCTCAGGTAAAAACTCTTCTGGGTCTTTCCAAGTCTCAGGGTCTCTATGAATAGCCCAAGCATTCACATATACTAATGTCTTGGCTGCAATTTCATAACCCTCTATAATGCACTTTTCATTTGTCTCTCTTGGCAACAGGAGTGGCACTGGTGGGTGTAATCTCATTGTCTCTTTTATCACAGCCTTAAAATAGGGAAACTTTTGAATCTCATCTTCTTCTACCATATCTTTCTTACCTGCCAGGCTTCTAATTTCTTCTTGAACTTCCTTCATCACTCTCGGGTGTTTTACTAATTCAGTCATTATCCAAAGTGTTGCTGCTGCAGTGGTATCCGTTGCTGCTATAAGCAAGTCCTGTAGAAGAAAATAAAAATAGTTACTAAATGATTAAAATAGATTTAGAAAAACAAAATTTATGTTTAACTTGTGATATGAAAATAGACTTGTCTAAACAATGAATATCTAATTCACAGCTTTCAACGACAGCATAGTAAATCGAATATTCTCATATCACATCAGAGATTGTGGTGGACAGTCCATGCTGTGTCGCATTCGATCGCAACATATATTGAATAATTTTCCTTTTCTTCTGTAAACTTCTAAAAGCTTGGGTTTCTGGATATTATAGAGATTGAAAGTATATGGCTGAGATGTAATAAAATACGTACCAATCATCTATTTTGACAATCAATATTATTAATGTTATGCCTACTATATACTTTCAATCAGCTTCCAAAGAGAAGAAAAAAAAAAAATCTTTGGTTAATGAATAAGTCATAAAGTTATAACTGTAATTGAACCACATAATAATCTCTCAAAGCAGTGTTTTTCCAAATATTGTTTTGTAATTAAAAACAGTAAAGTAAACGAGAAAGAGAACATAGAACAGAGCTCCTAACCATGAACACTGCTTTGATGTTTTCAACAGTGAGATCTGAGGAAAACGAACGTTCCTTCTTTATTTGAAGTAAGACGTCAATTATATCCTCTTCCTCCGTAGTCTTTCGACTAGGATCCATGTGTTCGTCAATGACCTCTTGAGAAAACTTATCCAACTCCTTGAAACATTTTTCAAGACGTGTATTAAGTCCCCTGAGTTTATCAACCCAACCCAGAAATGGGACATAATCTGAAACAAACAAGACACCCATCATGGCCTCACACTCGTTGAGAAGCCCTTGGAACCTACTCCTCTCAGTTCCTTCATCTTCATACCTTCTCCCAAAAGCAGTTCTACATATAATTCCACTGGTAAGGGATATCAGCACTTCATTCAAATTTGTAACCTTTGATGATGAGGCATGCCCAGATATTTTTTTTATCATGTACTTGACCTCAAAGTGTCTTATTGAGGAAAAGCTTGAGACACGTCTGGAGCTAAGGATATGGACAACACAAAGTTTTCTGATTTCCCTCCAATAATTACCGTATGGGGAAAATGATATGTCTATTCCATTGTAGGAGAGTTTCTGTTGGCCAAGTAATTTTGGTCTTCCACTAAACACAACGTCATGGTTTTTAAGTGCCTCTTTGGCTACTTTAGGTGAGGAAACAACTATGGCTGCCCTTAAACCTAGTTGAAGGGAAAATAGAGGCCCGTACTTCTTTGAGAGTTGCCATAGCTGAAGGTAAAGATTAGAGTTGTCTAGTTGATGGAGATTCCCTATTATGGGAAGGCCTCTAGGACCAGGTGGAAGGAGTGGGTTCTTGAAAGCTCTATTGTATTGGAAGAAGAAGAACAACAACACTGGAAGAGTAAGGCACAAAACTAGTACAAGTGGTGACATAGTTATGAGCTATGTGAATTTTAGTGTTAGAAAGGTATTATCTACACTTTTATATATATGTTCTGCAACAAAGGTAATGTTATTAATATATTCCTTTATTATATTTAATTTAATATTTTTAATAACAAGTTTGATTTAATCTCTTTTAAAAAAAAAATCAATTGAAAGTGTTATATATATAATTAAGAGGCATAGTCTATCTCCCACCGAATCGATCCACTTTTTAGGTAAAGTACTATTACGCGTGCCTAGCCTTGAAATCCAATCCTAAATATTGGTTATGAACTCAAACACGAAACTACTTGTACCAACGAGTTTATAGGTACTAAAATTAGTTTTAAATCACTATTATATCTATTATAATTATTTTTAAATGAAGAAGTTATGATAAAAAAATACAATTTTAGAAAACAACTGTTATATAAGAGTGTGAAATAGACGGTTCAATACAGTGTCCAACCAATAGATATTTTGACCCGTTTTAATAAAAAAAAAACAATAATTCCAAGAATTTAGAATATATAAAATATTTGAAATATAAATTAATTTAATTTAAATTTTCAATTTTCATGCATCGCTTGCCCGATTTTGTTTTGTTATAAAATATTTTACATATTTTAAGTGGAAGAAATACTTGACAATTTTTTAAGAAATACTTTACAATTATTCAATTCAAATCGATCATACAATTTAATCAATTAATTAAATTTAAAGATAATTACTCTTATGTAAAAGTTTAATAAATTTTATTTGACAGATTAAAATTGATTAAGTTGATAAAATTGATTTTAAATACAAAATCATCATGTTTCTCCAACAATGAAAGGAAAGCAGAAATGAAAATCGACAAGTACAAAGCTATTTGTTTCACATGTTTGCATAAGGGTGGACCAAGCATGTCAATTTTTTTCAATTCTTTAATAGCACCATTTATAAGAACCCTACCTTTATAGGATCCCTTCTTTGAGTGGTAAGATAAGGACATTTTCAATATTTTGGTACAAACATTTATCTCAAAAATATTGTTTTTACATGTTGTAAAAGAGATAAAATTGAAATATATGGTAATAATTTCTTTTTTATTTTTATTTGGGGGAACTTTTATAGTATGAGTTGGAGGCCCAAAGAACAAAGATCAAGGATAAAATGGGTTAGAGGTCCTAATTAACATATTAAATATTATTTACCATATAAATTAGTTTGTATGTTAATTTCATAAAGTTATGTAACAACTCAGAAGTATATATACTTTATTTGAAAAAACTCAAAAACAGTGTCCAGAAAATACAATCAATGAAACAGTAATATAATGAGCAAAAAAATTCTTCAATCAATGTCACAATCCATAGCAGCACTCGAATAAGCAATTTCACCTGTAAGTGCAGTGTCAAAAAATGAAAATCAGATAAGGAATTGAAGAGTATGAAACAGAATCAGAGAAGAGAATGACAGAAGAGAATTAGAGCTAAATTTCACCTAATACCTCCCACCGCAAGCGTAATTTTTTAATAATATATTATCTTTTTTTACCCTTTCACTTTTTCTAATTTCACTCCCATATGCATCGTTTTGACATGTGTCCTCTCTGCTTAACCAACTTTGGCACTACTTCTTCTTCCTTCTTTACCCCGTTACAAGTTATAACGATACTTATAAGATGATTATTTAGTTGTTGAAGTATATATATATATATTACATATAAAATGATATGTCACCCGTTAAGTGTTATAAGTAAAATTTTAATTCTTATTCGTATACATTTTTATTAGTTATCTTTTTCTTATACCGACTTGAAGTGTTAGATAGGTTTTTTTTTTTCAAGCATAACTCAGTCCATAAATCCTATAACACTTCAAAATTTATGATGTATACGAATATAATATATTAATTATAATATTTTAGATAATTTAAATGATTTTATAATAATTATTAAACTATTTAATAATTTAAATTTATTTTAAAAATAATTATTAATTATTAAAATAAAAATTGTTAATTAATTATTATAAAAAAACAAATAAATTTATTTATTTATTTATTTACTTTCAATTATTCATTAGTCCTCTTTTATACTTATATTTATCATTAGTGTTTCACTGGTCTTTAGTTATTAATTTTTATTTATATCTTTTTAATTATTTAAATTCTCTTAAAAAAATAATATTTACTTACGAATATATATGATGACAATTTAGATGAAAGTTTGATATTGGGATTTGAAATGATTAATTTTGACTCATTTATCGTAGTTATTACAAAAATTATTTCAAATCTTCATAGTATAAATGAGGTTAAAAAAATGATTTTATATATGATTATATTATTTTATATAATAATTATTCTGATCTGTCTATTGTTACGTCTTATAGATGTTATAATTAAAATATCAATATAAATAAATAGAATCATGATGAAAGATAAGTATTATTAATAGATTAATTATTTGTAGAAGAAAAATAGTTATCAATTTTAATAATTATTTATAATATAAAAATAATATAAATTTATAAATTTATATATTCATAGTATAAATATATAAATATTTATTTTACGTCTAATTTTTGTTAAAGATTTAATAAAAAATAATAATTTTTTAAAATATAGTTAAAGATCATATCTTATTATTCAAACTGGTTTATCTAACTTTATTCATTATTATAAATTTTTTATCTAACTTTATTCATTATTATAAATTTTTTAAGAATAAATATTAATATTTATAATTATTATTATATGAAAAACATATTCTATTTAAAAAAAAATCCGTTAATTTAACAATTAGTTTTAAAAATTGATTGGAATATATTTGAAGAAAGATAGATTATTTGTACGGTCAATAAATAAAGTCACTCATTATCTTATTGATAAAGAATATATTTTGAAAAATCAATTAAGGATCCACTATTATATTTTCTTATAAAAATTGAAGAACATACTGTTAACATATTATTCAATATATACATATTTGGGATTAAAAGTATTTTTGTATGAATTTACATATTTAGCCCTTACGTGGTAATTGAATTTAAACCAAGGAAAATTTAACTTTTGGTTTATAAGATATCTAATTTCTCTTCTATTCTTTATTCACCTTAATTGCTTGGCAAACTCTGATGCTTGAGAGCCACACATTTTTATGATTTTATTTTCTTTCCCCATAAAACCTTCTTACTTATTTATTTATATATTCTCCTACCTCATTTCCACAGCACCAGAACACAACCTTAATGTTTTGTTACTATCATCTGTAAATTTTGCATTAGTTTCTATATTCATTTATAAACTTCTTTAAATAGTTTCTATTTTTATAATTTTTAAACTAATAAATAATAATAATAGATCTCTATACTTTTTAATACATTTAAACTGCTGTTGTAATCCGTGAGACGTTTAACATATGAAACTTGTCACCAGTTTATAAGAAATTGAATGAAGTTGAATATCAATTAGGGTCGGTAAAAATAAAGTTAAAGAAAAAAAATTATTTTTTAATTTAATGAACATATTCACTTTTTTTCTCTGGTATGAACGAAAAAAAATTATTATTTTACAAAATTATTATTTCATTAATAAATAATTATATAGGTAATTTTGAAATTACAAATATTAAATTATAATCAAAGAATATTTTCATTCACTTCCTTGTTACTTCTTCTCAAAGAATAACTTTAATTACTATTTTAATAAAATATCATAAATATTAAAATGGTTATAAAAATTAAATGAATAATTTTTTATATTATTTATTTATTTATAATATAATAGTATTTTATTAATTTAATTTTAAACAATTTTAGAAAAAAGTAATTTTATATTAAAAATGTTTTATAATTATATCAATATATATTATTAAAAAATCAATTAACAATTATATGAATACTTTTATAATTAAATAAATATTTAATTTAAATTTTATTATTTATTATTTTTTAAAATAATTATTTTTCTTTTTTATATTACTTTTCTCTTAAATGAAAAAAAAATCATTCTATTTTATTATTTTCTTTTCTATTAGAATAGGCTCGATTATATAGGTTATCAAATTATTGAAGAGCGCCCTATAACGTTATCACGGAAGTTATCCTACTTCAGTCGACAGGTTTATAAAATATTAGTCAAAACTAAATCTAACATACCATTTAAAATAATATTTATTTTTATATATTGATACAGTAAAGTAACCATTAATATTTATTATATGCCCTCACCGGTAAGAAAAGTTGAACTCCATTACATCTGCAATTACTATATATATATATAACCCTTTTATAACCGTTAATAAAAATAGGTTTTAAAAAATTATTATTATTATTTATATATTTAAAAAAAATTAAATAATAAAAAAAATTTAAAATAATAATTTTAAAGAAATTAATTATAACAAACTATGATCAACATATCTTCTAACACCTGTATTTTCACTACCATATATAAAGGTAATCGTTTTTGTTAATGTTATCGGAAAGAGAAATATCATGTATAATAAATTAAAGAATATAAAATAGTGGAGAGGATTTTTTTTTAAATTATGCATTAAAAAAAGCGAAAAGAGAAGAAATATATAAAAGTAAAAAAAATATAGAAGATGTGATGTGTATTAAAAAATAAAATAATTTTAAAAAATTATTAATTTAACAAAATATGGACGTATTATATATATATATATATATATATATATATATATATATATATATATATATATATATATATATATATATTAAGAAGATGTTGATTGTATAATGTTTATGTTCGTTAAGTTTATATACACCTAATCTTTTTAATTTATCAAACATCTTTTAAAATAAAATCATACCGAAGAAAAGTTTGAAACCGATAACGTGAAAATTCACCTGAAATTAATGTAACGATAATATCATATACCCTAACATTATTATCATAAATAAAATCGGCACACTCGTTCCTTAACTACAACATATAATATCCATAACTAAATGAAAGCAAGTGTCAGATTTACTTGAGAACAAAATATTATCCTTATG